CACTCTCCTATGTCTTGATAAAGTTTAAAATGATAGTACCGCTAAGTGGTGATATCACATTTATGGTTCGGAGTATGTACTGTCTGGTCGGTTTGACGAAAAAGAAATGAAAATAATGTGACGACGCAGACCTAGACAGCGTCTTTCGCAGATTGTACCAGCTCTCCAAACGAGGTTTCCAAGCATTGCCGAAGTTCGGCGTAACTTACTACTAATACACTTTGTTCGTCTCGAGACATCAAACATATCTACAAGGTTATAAAGCGATCGTTTAGAAAACATATAGACCAAGTGTCCCGTAACTGATAATACAAACGGGAAGGAGATGATTTTAGATAGGAAAGCAAAGGCAAACTATGGAATACAATTTTGTTACATAAGACTTCAATTCCGAGGAAACGGACTTTGAGCGGTTGTACGACCAGTTACAAGAGACTTTGCAATATAAACTATTCTCAAGATCGTTAAAACATTTCACATGAACATGCTAAAAACGTTAGCGGTCGGAAAATTAGCGTAAGAGAAAAGTATACCTTGTCTTGAGACCCTGAATCCAACTTATTTAAACAAGATACAACGTGTGCCATATCCAACCACGGTCTTCCATCAGCCGCTACCTGATGGAAAACGTAATCCCTAAACAATTTGAGCATGTATCGGTCTCCTGTTTCTGCCCACGTGGGTTCCATATTAAGTTCTGGTCTTTCGTTAATGGTGGCCAGTTTTACAAGTAACTTAAATAACCGCCCGTTCTCAAGCTCCTTGGCAAGTTCGTTTTCGAGCACGTCGGATCGAAGCAAGGCTGCGTCGAGCTGTGTATAAAATCGAGCTCCTATCATTGGCATGAGATCTGTTACGCTCCGTCGTGCTTGGTTCGAAAGTAAATATCTAAAACGATAGAATTCCATATGAACATGTATCGCTGCAAGTATAGATCCTTGCATCGAGGATCGTACAAGATGGCCGAATGAAATCCTAATGAAACCTATACGAACAGAATGAGGTTCCGAAGATCCGTGGAGTAGGAACGTGCGACGAGCTCGAGGGAGGCTTGCATGTTGTCGCGATGGACGGCAAGAAGGCTACGACATGCTAAAGCCAATACCAACTTCCCCAGAGCGATTAAATCTTCTTGTTGGTAATGTGGAATAAGTGAGAGTGGATTCGCTGCGTTCCCATCGAATGTAACAACGTCTGGTATGGCAACGCAACTTAAACGGAGTCTCGTCCGTGACGTGAGCAACACTTTTGTGGGATCCAAACATCTGTATGCCAAACCTGTTAATAGAATTTCAATGGACGTAAGATTGACAGAATATTAACTGAATGTTACGCATGAAAATACTTTTAAGAGTGACACAAACCAGCAGCATGTATGACGCGAAGCGCGGCAGTTAGTTGGATTATGTAGCTCCAGATAACACTTTCTGGTAGCATACTACTGTGTTGCTGTCTGAGAATTGTATTTTTTGTATGACTATACGGGCGAGGGGCGTTCGGATCTGAAGAAAATGGATCCGTATAACCATTCAATTCAGTTGCAGAGAAATGCTTGTTTAACAACGTTTCTGAGCCCGGATGATAGTCATAAACGAATACCATGGCTGAAATGGGAAAATTTTTGTTATAGAAATCCATTTACCAGACTTCTGAGTAGTATTAATACAAACAATGGTCGCCAAAGGCCTTGGTGGTAAAGACTTCTCTTAACTGCACCAAATTAGTATGCGATAATCGCTTCCACATATCTACCAGCACCATACACTTTGTATTAGCAAGTCTGAAATCTAACAACAGATGAAATGCTTTTTTCAATACCATTTATCGAATTGACTTCTTTTAATTATTTTGCGCGAAAAGTTCAGGAACCTCACCATGTATACGACGTAAACAGTATCGCGTGCCACTCTTAATGCTGGTAGCTTTGTACGTTGAAGTTTGGTATCCGAGCATTGTCGAGGCAGGTTTATGAATTGGTTCCAGTGGGCACAACTCATGGTAACTGTCTACCTCATTTGGTAAATCAGGGAATCTTACTACATCAGGTTGCGCTAACGTTAATGCATTTTTTTGAAGAATGTCCATTCGTAAGCTCTCACTGACAAAGAAGCTGGGTGTTGCTTGAGGAGGTGGGGTTGAGGGAGCAGAGGAATTATTAGACGACGGAGGTTTTACTGGTTTCACAGGTTGAAGGTGTGCTGGTGTACCTGGATAAACGTAGCCTACCTGACCTGCTCCGACAGTTCCAATCTGAAGGTGTAAATTTACTATTAATTTGCTAAAAATTGAAATCAAAGAAGATCTTCTAACTTCTATGCTTCCTTACAGTTTCAGTTCCTTCCTCTGCTCCAACAGTATCGGTTGGTGTGTTTCCAAGGTAAAAATAAGTTGTACCACCAACATTCTCTTGTGAGTGGTAAGAATTATTAAAAAGATTCGGAGAACTGCTGTTGCTACCAGTGAGACCTCTTCCTGGTACAAATTCTGGACTGGCAGTTACTTTTTTTTGCGAATCCAGAGAGAGGTTCGACAAGTGCTTTGTAACTGCAGTGGTACTTAGAGTTACCCCCGGGCTTTGACGATTCTATTAAACAATAGAAATAGTAAGAAAATGGTAAACATGTCTGTGTACTTATTAACTATGGCAAGGAAATAGCAAAGTTATAAGTAATAGCATATTATAATAACAAAGCATAAGATTTCTTCCTTTTAAAACATACAAGATGTACTTCTATTAATTAATTCATTAAGTTAGAGACTTAAGCCTTTACCATTTATGTAAGCATGTGACAGAGTTTCATGTTGTATCAAAATCTCTTTAATTCTAAATCTAATTAAACGACAGACGTATGAAAACTTTTACTAAGGTTTGACTCTCCTCAAATAAATTGCAGAAGAGTGTACACTACCATGTAGGTAGCAAGCTTGGACTCCAGTGGAACGCCGTTTGTTTGAGGGGTGTATGCAACAAACATTGATGGGTCCATCTCTCCTTCAACCACTGCATTTACCGCTATCACACTGAACCCTCACTTCTACTCTGTTTATGTTCTCCCAGCTAGAAAACCCTTCACACCTGTCTTTCTCAATCCTGATTAACAACAGTCTTTAACCACCACAGTCTTTCTATTATACAGACGCACAACTCGATAACAACCACCAGATCCTGCAACACATCTTATAAATACATGAGTAAAGATAAAAAATAAAACATTTGAAATATACATTATCCAATGATATATTATTTATACTTTCTTCATTTCTAATACGCTATCAGTAGGAATTTAATATTACAAAAGTAAATCCCCGATACTCTGCAAACTATACAAAACTATATTCAAAGGTCGTATAACAAGTACACAATCCAAGAAATAAAATATTACATCTTTCTCATGAAAAACGCTATTAACAATTTAAACAATTTCAAAATATTTACTCATCATCAAAAAACCTGACTAATACCACAGAAGATATAAATGTTCACAGAAACCGCACGAATTATTCGATATAAATCATTGGTCTATGCAAGATCTGATCTACGATATCACAGCCGTCACAAAACGGGTAGAAAAAATGGAATGAAATGTACCGCTCGTTCTGAACGAAGAGGGTAACACGACGCGTACGGCTGTATAAATGCCGAGGATAACAAGAACCGTCGACGCTGAATGAAATTTCAGGAATGGTGGGTAAAGGTTCAGTGAAAAAAACTGGGAAAAAAGCTGGGGAAACGAAAGAAAAACCAGGACAAGCAAGTGGAATCGCACGCTATAGCAATGGCAGCTGATTTTGACAATACAGCCAGAAAGACGCACAAGATATAACCTTGGCTACACGTTACTGGTGGCGGGGAAGCGACCACCGTGACCGCGGATTCGACGGGTATATCCTCGCCAAGGGCTCGAGAAAGTACGAACGAGTCAAAATATCGTGTACGCGTGCGACGAAATGCGTACGAGAGGTACGCCGCGTTAACATAACCATTTACGCTGTCACCGATGTCGCGTCGGTGTACGGCGCCAAAATTCCGATCACCACGACACGTTCCCGATACGGCACGGTGATCACGCGACCCACAAAAAAATAAGAATAAGAAATACATTATTCAGAATAACGATTTCGATAACAGTCTGACCGTGTTATAACATGTTTCCATCCGGCGGACAAAGGAGAAAGCAGAACCAATCCGATCTTGTATGTTTATGGTGTTCTCCCTTTGCTTCGGCCTCGTATTTTTCTCTTTCTCCCTCTCTCCCTTCCGCCCTCCTATTCATGTCCTTCGATCGGAGCAGCTGTCTCTCTGCCACGGCTTGTCTCCGGGCGCGCGCGAGACGAAGCCTGTATATTTACCTTTCAGAACCGCGCCACAAACTACGCCTGCGACCATTCGTCTAAATTCTCATCATTTTTACCTGTTAACCACCGGATCGAGGTGCGTCTGACGAATTATATTCCGGACGGGGAACGGAGTTGAGTTATTTCTGAATTATAATAAGCTTTCTTGCCTGCACGTTAGAAATTAATCTATTCCACCATATTGTATCGTGATAACTCGAAATTAATATTGATCGAAAATATTGATCGGCTAGTCAGGTATGAATATAATTCGAATATAGTCTAATCATCTTTTTCGCTTTTTTTTGTACCTTACATAATTCGTAGGTTTTTATAAAATAGATTTCTTGCTTCTTCGCGTATGTTCAATCGTATCCTTAAGGCACATTTAAAATTCGATACATTTAGTATAGTATATTAATAATGTACTTTTAAAATATTCAAATCTAATATTATACAATTTTAATTCAAATATAATGCTTATAGCATTCGAATATTAGAGTAATTCCAGTCCAGGCGAACGATAATCATTTATGATAGATATTTCACGATTTTAAATTCGTGTTTTCATTGTTTACCGACAATTCATTAAAGTAGATTACTGAGATACGTTTATCGTCTGTTTAATTTTTTATGTAAATTGTTTTGTCAGACTACTGCGTCGCGTTGAGAATAGTCGCAGTTGTAGTCAAATGATCGCGCTTAAGTAAAACGATTCGTGAAAAATATTCAAGTAATTCTGAGCAACAGGCATAGTTACTAGGAACAATATTCGTACGACAGGTATCTCCATCTGAAAGACTCCATTGGCTTTTCCCAAAGGGTAAAGAATCCGACGCACAATTCTAGAGTCAATGCTACTTTGTTAAGATACATTCACAAGAGCGCGACGTGTTAGGCTTGTTTTCGTGACTGGCGTAGTATCGTAAACATTTATATCCTCTTTTTATATGATGTCCTTGCTTAGCGTGCACTCGAAAATATATACTTAACAACGTAAACGGTCTTAAAGAAAATATTTACAGAAAATTTACGCGGGTAGATTGAGTATTGCGACCTTCTCGGTTGATCCACTGAACTGCGTTTTCATTTTCGCAATTCTGTTGGCAACAGTGAGTGACATGAAATCATTTCACAGTATACATGCTGTGTTATGATACGCGTAAACGTTCCGGTTGTGTACAACGATTCGAAAGATCGAGGTTTCTAGAACTGAACGATTCAAACGACGTTGTACGTTAGTGCGTTTTTGTGGATATTAAAGTGTATTCTGATAGTCGCATTAACGTGTTTTCGTAAAAAACATTGAGTTTAATCAAATTTGTAACTATGATTATACCTGTACGTTGCTTCACTTGTGGAAAAGTGATTGGCAACAAATGGGAGGCTTATCTTGGCTTGCTGCAAGCAGAATACACGGAGGGGTAATTATTATTTGTCTCGTTAACGTTTATGCAATTAATGAAATAGTATAATTAATGTACCATTTGAAGAGTTATCACGTGTTAATAGAAACCTAACCTTACTTTCTTGGATTTCATAAGATTTTAATTAGAAAAGAAAATTTGTCAGTAGAACTAATGGATTATTGGTTATATCTGGTTCTCTTAGCAACTCTATTTATCATTCTGACGTAGAAAATGTTTGTCTTTATTTTACAGAGATGCTCTTGACGCATTGGGCTTGAAGAGATATTGCTGCCGTAGAATGCTTCTTGGACATGTGGATTTGATTGAAAAACTTTTGAACTATGCACCACTAGAAAAATAATCAATGGGTTCGATATTTCAATTCTTATACTCTATTTTGTATATTAATGTATAAGTGTAATATAATTATGTAAATTAAAAAATATCATGGTTGTTAAGCAGATAAAAGTACATACAAATTTATATGAAACATGACTTTAGTCTTAAAACGTAAAAAAGTTATTTATATTTTAAAAACTACTATAACATTTAATTGTATATAAAGCAGGAAAATAAAATCTACAAAACATACTGTAAAATGTATTTTATAATTACATTTGTTGCATCTTGATCATTTTTTTTCTTTACCATGAATGTGTAAAAGTTTTTCAACAATTGTATAAAAAATTAATTAGGTTACAAAAGCTTTTAACTTGCTTCAAGGAAACATTATGTGTTTTTCATTTTTAAATCGTGTATTCACAGTAAATGCAACATAGAAGAGTGAAACATTTTAAACACTGTATATACCTATCACATGTACTAGTCATGGAACAGGAACTGTACATACAGACTTGTT